TTTAGCCAATGCACAACTAATCTTGTGCCCCATGGAGGTAGATCTCATTTCAGGTACTACACCGCTGCTGTTTAGGAATAAAATATTACGTGACATATTACATCATTTAATTATTTAACATTAATTGCTAATAATATTAATATGATTTAAAGACGAGATATTATATGTTTATTTTTATTACACTGGTTTAATTTAAAATGTTAAGAAAAATATTTATCATCACCCTGAACACAGATTAAACTTTAGGATTTTTTTTTGCCATACGCATCTGTATAATTGACAAGAAAACAGGAGGTTTTCAATCATAAGAATCAGAAATGGAAATACTGTACATTGCTCTTGGTTTTATTTATAACGTTTTTAAAATCGTAGAAAATTTTCTCAGAATGAATTTAATCCGGTATTAATACGAATAAAATATGATTAATAATATTCCACAATAATATTAAGCAGCTCAACTGTTTTCAGCATTGATGATAATGTGTCTTGAGCATCAAATCAGCATATTAAAAATGAATTCTGAAGGATCATGTGACACTGAAGGAATAATAGCTGCTGAAAATTCAGCTTTGCCATCACAGGAATAAATTAGATTTTAAAATATATCAAAATAAAAAACGGTTTCTTTAAATTATAATAATGTTTCACAATATTACAGTTTTTACTGTATTTTTAATCAAATAAATGCACTTGGTGAGAATAAGAGACTTCTTTCAAAAACACTTACAACAGTTTAATTACTCCAAACTTTTGTCTGGTAGTGTATATGTGCATGCCTTATTTTTGCAATAAAGTAAAAAAAATAAAAATTATATTAAGTATGTATTTCAGAAAATAATTCTATATTGCCTGTCACTTCCATGGAGACTTTAGCGCAAAAATGAGGCATATTAGATAACATTATATCTGTTATAAATTAATTTGGCATCATGCACTCACCTGTATTACATGTCCCATCCCATTCTCCTCAGAGTGGTACAGACCTTATTTAGATAGAGTACGCCGAGCACATGATTTAAATGACCCGTAGGCCAGAGTACCATAGAGATATGGAGGGACAGAGCTGGATCACCGCTGAAAGACATGGAGAACTGAACTCAAAGTGTGCAGTCGCTGTGACCCTTATGTGTGGAGGTAGAAAAGTGACACGACCACATTACCATAGAGGACCAATTACAGTCAGTGTGTGATCACGCTAATTGCTGATCTGAGATCAGATTTCAGCCCATAACCCTGCATTAAGGCTAACAGTCATAGTGTGGTCGGTAACTGATCTAAGATATTAAAGTGGCAGTTAACTCTAATGTTGTCCAAGGTTCATTACACAGGGGAGAGTCAGGTAGCCAAAACAGTGGAGAGTTACAGCGGATGGTATTAGAGATGTGAATATTTAGTATGGGTCCCCAAACATGACATGCGGGGGGAAAAATATGTATAATGTGGCCACAAATGAACAATTCATTCCCACGACTTACTAATACGTCAGCATGTTTTACTAATTTGTTCCCTTGTGCTGTCTAGACTTGGAGAAGGGCTACTCTCTGAAAATTAAAGGACGTTTCTGGAAACTAACTGGCATGACGCATTTATCTTACTAATAATAAATTGTTACATTTGAATTTATTCTGAATTACTCTGAAATTAACAACTAGTAGATTACGTTAAATCCATACCACCAAAAATCTACGCTCAGGTTAGTAACGGACTCCGCCGAACACATTGGCATTAGTCGTGTGTACTGAGACTGTAGAAGCTAATAATGAAATTTCCGTTAATAACAATGTGTTGTTAGACCAATCTGAATAGGGTGAGCCTCAACCTCTGATTATCGTAATATTATTCTAAGTGTTCATGTTCAATGTTTATATAAAGTTACCATTAGAGAAGTTAAATTGGTCAACTTATTTCTATGGCAATGGTCATGACCTCTGGTTAGATATAGTCTCAATTAAGTGTGTACAGATCTACGGGGACTAAATATCATACTTAGAAATAAGCAAGCGTGGTGCGGCATCTAAAGGTATTAGTCAACCGTCTCTGCTAATGATCAAGACTGACGAGTTTGTGATTATGAGATCCGTATATCCGGGCGCAGTGAGACTCGAAGTGATAAGAATCCGAATGAACGAGTGTAAATTGAATAAAGAGTTAATTAGAATAATCAAATGTGTAGTTAAACTATTATACCAGTGACCAATAGTCAATTAGCAGTTTAATCTAAATTCGAGGTCATGATAAAATAAAGTCAGATGACATTGGAATAAAACTACTTTTGAACACTGAAAAGAAAGAATGCGCAGGATATCCTTCACCCACTGTATAGGAAACTGTTGTTGGGCCGATTAGGGCGTGGCTTACACTCGTTTTAAGCAAATCATGTAAAACATTTACATATTAGTTAATTGGCATATACTTTCTTTAAAAAACAAATATCGTTGATCATCTGCTAACAAGGCCATGAGGTCTGTGTTCTCGTAATCGGCGTGTTGGATGCAGGAGGAATGGGCAAAGATCTGAGCGACTTTGACTAGCGCCAAATTGTTATGGCAAGGCGACTGGGTCAGAGTATCTCTGAAACGGCAAGGCTTGTGGGTCGCCAACAGTGGTCCGAGGAGGAACAAACTGCAAACTGGCCACAGGGTGTTGGACGCCCAAGGCTAATCGATGCAAGAGGGCAATGAAGGCTGTCTGATCCGAGCCAACAGAAGGTCAACTGTGGCACAAGTTATCCCTGCCCACCATCGAAATCAACAAACATCAATGCAAATATCGGAACCGGACCCTGGAGCAGTGGAAGAAGGTCGCCTGGTCCAGTGAGTGTATATATATTAAAATAAAATAAGCAGACAAAAGAAAACTGTCATCCACAAGAATCTTTATCTTTCATCATTGAATAATGACAATGCAAAATACAACATAAAACACAGGCAGTTTGGACACTGGTCAAACAGTTTATGTTTGTGCAGCAGACCCAGAGTTGACAGGACATGGTGGGGGGATTGGTCTTGGCACTGGGCCACAAGGAGAGATGAATTTGAATGGATGTAAACAGAGGAGGAGTGAGAGAGAGGAGGATGGTCGAGCTTAAAATGTAAAGGTGATGAGGTGAGGAACACAAGGACAACAAGCACACATGGAAACAACACAAATAAACATTCGCAAATAAGGCACTTGTGAAAACATTCGGAAACTTAAAAGAACTTTTTAAAGCCTATCCAGATGTCCCGTTCCACTTGCAAAAGTGCACCTGTATTGAAACTGACTTTCATACACAATGGTAAAAAAACAAAAACAAAATAAAAAATAGTAGTCGACCACAATTTGTAAAACTGTTGCTTAATTATAATAATAATAATAATAATAATAATAATAATAAGAGATAATTGTTAAACCTGACCTTACATTTGACTATGAAACTTAAAGAGACAGTTCACCTAAAAATTCAACCAGTTCACCTCGTTCTGCCATCATTTATTCACCCTCCAAACATGTATGACTTCCTTTCTACTGTGGAACACAAAAGAAGATTTTGTTTTTGTCCATACAATACAATCAATGATGTCCAAATTTAGTCTGCATCCAATTCAAAATATCTTTTGTGTTACGCAGAAGACAAAGTCATACAGAGTTGGAATGACATGATGAGGATGAATTTAATTTTTTTTGGGTATACTCTCCCTGTAAAGTTTCATATGACCTCATGTAAAGCAGCAGCCAATGGGCAAACATAACATACTGGAGGACATATTGAGCTAATTCCATAACTGAACTTTCTTTCTTTCTTTCTTTTTTTTTTGAACTATGGAATTTATTTCCAATACCACAAATGCAAACCAGAGGTTCAGTTATGTCAAAACGTTTGCTGAAAACACAATCATTATAATGCATTTTACATAAGACAGAGTTACAAAGTGCATCCAACAGTCAATACTGATTATTATTGAAATAATTTATCATATTAATGGAAGAGACAAAAACATAAACTACAGGTTTTGCTGCCAAGTACAGTTTTTTTGTTGTTGTTTTTTTACAAAGCAATTTCCCCCCTACTGCATAAATTATCAGCTTATCAGGCTTGCTTAAAAAATCTGGACCTTAAATAAAAATAATCTTAAATGAAAAACCAACAAAAAAAAAAATCTTTAAAATAACTTGTATGTGTAACTGATATAACTAAGAATGAGTCTTTAACAGAAATGTGTTACAGGACACACGCTGAGCAAAACACAAATATTAGTTATGATACACACACACACATTTGTTGCTTCATTACAGACACAACAGTTACAAGACAAACGTTAAATGCAACAAAAACAAAGCAGCATACTGATTCAGCGACTTTGGGACAGGCTATCATGGCATTACAAATCATGAGTCTTTGTATCTCTAAAAGAAGGAAAGCTGGGTCAATAATGTTTTAGTGCAACTGCATTGGAGAAAGATCAGTGAGGAAGACCCTCGGTATACACACACCTGCGATGAAGGTCACGTGTGTTTAATAAGGTAAGCAGGCGCGTGAAGGTCACTTGGTGAGACTGTTATTGTCAAGTGAACAAATAGGACATGAAGAAAGAAAAAATTATTCCAGTCAGTTTCTGGCAACTTCAGAACACCGATACTGGGAAATCTGACAGTTGACCAGAAAGAAAAAAAACATGCAAAAAACTTACTGACAACTAAAGGGAGGATAACAGTGTGTGATGCCCAAAAAGAAATTAAACGTATGAACAGCAGTACAACTTTGTACTAATAAGGTACTAAACGCGTACTAAACTGGAGGGAATATTTCCAGTAGAACAAGTGAATGTTGGATTCACTAACATTAGAGAATCTAAAAAAAAAAAGGTTATTTAATGATACAGTGCCTGCTAATAGTGTTTTGAATAGTTTGCAAGGGGTAAGAGGTTATTTTGTTCCTCTTTTTTGAAGTATTTCTGTTTCCAAAAATTAGTATCACATTTACTACATGTGTATATGTGTGTGAGTGTGCGTGTGTGTGAGTGAATGTGTGTGTTTGCTCTGGGCCTTTTCAATCTATCAAACACCCCTGACATTAGTTTGTTGGTCTCTCTCGTCCATGTGCACATGAAGGGCAGTGTTGTACCTCCTCTCTCGTCTCTGAGAGCATCACTCATTCTTGCGGTGATGGTTGTTGTTTAAGGGAGAGTGGCCGTTCTGCACTGCTCCATTTTTCATTGGTGTCTCGTCGTCCTCGTCATCCTCGGACTCTGTTTCTTCTCTGTCACTCCTCTCGTCCTCCACAATATTCTGCGGCGGGACAAATAAACGTTGATGAAGCTTTTAAATCCTTGCGATTCATATATCTTACAATTTTTTCAGCTCAAACCCAAAGATTTTCTCACTCATGTCATTTCACATGATTTTTTTCCCTCATTTGGAACACAAGGAGATATTTAACAGACTGTCCAAGCTGCTCTTTTTTGTCAAATTAAATTGGATGGGAACAAGGAATGGCGATGATCACCATTTATTTTCATTGTATGGAGAAGAGCAGCGTGGACAATCTGCTAAATATCTTTAGTTTTTTCCCACGTGTGAAAAACTGTTTGGATGGTAAGCAACTGATTGAGTCAACCAACCATTTAAAAACGTACACTATGTAACTTTTGGTCCTCTAGCGGTTAAAAAACAAAACTGTATGCATTTTGCGGAAGAACATTGTTTTGGTTGTGCTTTGGCTCTGCATGACTGAGCGGTGTTCTTGATGTTAGAAATGTGATATTTATAACTTTAAGAGAAAAAAACATTTTATGGGGGAAGAGGGCTATTTTCGTCTTCTGGCTTTGAAATCATCAGTGTTACAGAACTATAGGGGTGTCCCCGACTAAGGATTTTCATAGTCGAATCAGATTCGTCAAGTCCTGCCTATAGTCAACTAATAGTCGAATCATGTGTGTGGTGTTGGGGAGGGGGGGGGCTTTAACATTTTAAAGCCGCGATGTACAGAACATCATACAAAGATATAGAAGAAAATGTATAAAAACATTTTGGATCAATAAAACTAAGAAATAACATAAATAACAGCAGAAAGGCCACACTGCAGATAGGATTTGCATTTCACATGCAAATCAAATTAAATCGGCTGAATTGCCTGTACGAGCATGAAGTAGGCCTACAGCGCAACATCGATGCACTGAAAAATAATCAACAACACAATATACATTTATAATAAATAAAAATACAAAACGAAATAAGTCAGAATCAAGTCACAAGAAGCAGAACAAATGTGCGCAAAATGCCGAAAGTGCAGGGGAACAAATATTCAAAACACAATTGTCACAAATAGTTCAATTAGATAACCCTGAGTGATCAATTAATAAAATAAAAATAAATTAATTATTAAAATAACGAAAGTATGGCCAGGATTGTCAATTTTGTCTTTTTAACTGCAGAAACAACAATAAACGCTAAACTGGAGCCGCAGTCTTTTTAGCTAAACGTGTTCACAGTATCCAAAAATCAAATTAGAACCGGCTGAAATGTTTTGAAATCACTTGTACCCATACCTGATCGAAAAAACAAAATCCAGTCTTTCACTCGGCCTGTGTCCGTTTGAGTCTTTTCAAATTGTGTGCGCGGATAAAATAGCCCTACATTCTAAAACGCTTAACGGCTTTGTCCTAAAACTGTTATATTAAAAGATCAAATTCTGTACACACACAGTACACACCTTATTAATAAAGCATACTATATAGCCTACAGAAAAGCAGATGAGCCCAAAATATGAACGCAATGCGTTTTATTATAGGCTGCGTTAAGCATTTCCTCCCATAGAAAACCGTTAAAGAAAAAGCTTTACGTGACTTTCTATAGGAGAAACGCGTTGCGTTCATATTTTGGGTTCATCTGCTTATCTGCACATGGAATGGTTTCTTAAGGTGTGTAGCTTACTGTGTACATACATTAAGCACGTAAAAGTGCCATTTAAGCGTTTTAAAAGCTTTTTTCACGTTAAGCGTTTTAGAACGTCCCGAGGAAAACCTGTTAACGTTGGCCGGCAGAAGTGCGATCATGGTTTTCCTGATGCTAAATCCAGCCTTGGAGAATATCCTTTCTGATGGTGTGCATCTTTAGATTTTCTTATCCCAGACATTTTTAAAGATTTAAATCCCTGCCGACAAGACGCTCCTCTGTCGGTCACGGATCGAAAGTGAAACTTTCGGATTTATTCACGCTGCACGCACGTTAAAAAACATTCTTTCTTGGCACGTTTTTATTGACAGCATTATCATAATAGGCTGTATATTAACGTATTGACAGAAAACCAGTAGTTCTATGTGAAATCAGACATTGAGCACACTCATATAGCCAAAATGACATAATCCTCGTTTAATAACACATCTGCGAAGATTCGACCGTGAGATTGGTAGTCGAATCAGGCTCCTCCTATCGAAGCATCGAATCTTCGACTATTCGGGGTCACCCCTACAGAACTATAGTGTATGAAATGCCAAAATTAAATATCCAAATCAGTGCAGTCTGTGTTGGTTAACTTACATTGCCTGGCAAGAATTTGATGGCCATACGCAGGATGAGTACGGCCCAGAAGATGTGTAGACACAGCAGCACAAACAGCAGCCCGTTAAAGAAGTAATACCCAAAGAACGGACGGTAAAGAGTCACTGGATACACCCAGGTACAATGCATGATCCTGTGAGACACAGAAAAGAGAGAAAGTGAGAGTTTTACATCTGACATTTACCTAGCAGTGAAGAGAAAAGGCATATGGAGTTAATATTAAAATGTATATAGCAATAACTAAAGATTTGGCATTTCAACCAATCTAGGAGACAAGCACAAATTACTATTTATAGAGCTTTCATTTGATAACTCTTGACAAATATAGAAAGTGTCAAGAGAAATGAATGATTTATAGTTTAATAATAATAAACCTTGGGATCAAAATAGAAAATTATTTAACTCACCCAAATGGGAAGATGATGAGTCTGGTGATTATGAAGACGACAGCAAATAAGATGAATATGTAGTTGCACGCTTTTCTCCAGCCGGCATAGTTAAACATCTTGGCAGACTGTTATAGGACAGACAAGACATGTGTTTTTGACTCTTGCACAAAAGCACCACTAGGGAGCAGTGTTACACACCTGCATTAAAGGGATAGTTCACCCAAAAATAAGAATTCTGTCATTAATTACTCACTCTCATGTCATTCCAAACCCATAAGACTTTTGTTCATCTTCAGAACAACTTTTTGATGAAATCTGAGTGATTTCTGTCCCTCCATTGACAGCTACGCAACTACCACTTTGATGCTTCAAAAAGTTCTTAAAGTGATCGTAAAACTAATCCATATGAATTTAGCGGTTTAGTCAATTTTCTGAAGAGACACGATTGCTTTATATGATGAACAGATTGAATTTAGGCTTTTATCCACATATAAACATTCATCAATTCACACATCAGTTGTGGTAAACGGAAGCTCAAGTACGTTCGCTTGACGTGCGAGAACCAATGAGGTTCATTCTCGTGTTACACAGCACGTTTGAGCTTCCGCAAGAACCAATGAGGTTCATTCTCGTGTTACACAGCACGTTTGAGCTTCCGCAAAAGGTTTGTTCTCGCGCTTCAAGCAGGTTCGGTTGAGCTTCTGTTTATTTTCGCTGATCAATGTTTATATGTGAATAAAAGCCTAAATTCAATCTGTTCATCAGATAAAGAGATCGAGTCTCTTAAGAAAATTTGGACTAAACCGCTTTATATGGATTAGTTTTAAGATCTCTTTATGAACTTTTTGAAGCTTCAAAGTGGTAGTTGCGTAGCTGTCAATGGAGGGATTCATTTGTTCCGAAGATGAACGAAAGTGTTACGGTTACGGGTTTGGAACGACATGAGGGTGAGTACTTAATGACAGAATTTTTGGGTGAACTATCCCTTTAACAACCATGACAGACTGAAGTAGATTTACTGAATTACTTCTGGCTTTTACAGAATCTACATGAATTTAAAAGCATATGAAGCTCAGTAACAGCACTGGACAAGATACTTTTTAATATAAAACTTAAGCTTACAACTATCAATATAGGATACCTGTGAAATCATGGACTGGACAGGACTGGGATCTGGATGTGGATGTCACGAAACTCAATTAAGTAGGCAAGACCTATATATGTGATAAAATTATTTTAATGGTGACTAACATTATTTTAATGTCAATTTTGAGAAGTCCATGATCAGACTACTCTCCTTGAACCAGTACTTGAACCACCGAAATGATATTTATTTTGCCCAGAAAGTTTTCAAAAAGGTCTTAATTTATAATACAGGTGTAGCGGGCAGTTTTAGTTAAGGTATTCAGCAAAAATCAAAATAAACAAGGAGAAGCCACAATTAAAGATACTGCTATCGGGAATATGGATGGGATTAGACTTCTCAGAGGAAGTTAGCAGAAAAAACATATGTAATTTGCTCTATGATAGCCTATCCAAACAGAATTAAAACAACTCACCACAGTTCAAGCATTCTGTTAAACAGTGAAATACTGCTTTCACTTGAAATACATTTATTCTAATGTTGCTTGAAAAACGTTTGTTTTTTTAATTGAATGTAACAAAGTCAAAGCTCCAGAGACACAGTCTCAACACTAATGTTCTTCAGATGTTCCATTACCTCCAGAAGATAGTCGGAGGCGTCGTGCACCAGCATAATGAGGGTTCCTGCTCTGATGTAGTTCACACACCAGGAGAAACTAATCAGCACGATGGTGGCAACATGGTGCACTATTTGTTCTTTAAAGTCCTGAGGAAGAGAGAATGAGAGGCAATATTATCTTACCAACAAAATAATACAATGGCTTTGGACATACATCATCATAAGCCGCGTTTCCACCGCAATTACCAGGAACTATTTGTCCCAGGAACTTTTTTCATAGGAACTTTTTTTGCCCCAGAACGGCTGCTCACTGCGTTTACACCGTGGACTAAAGTACCGGGAAGATTAGTCTGGTGACGTTGAACTGCGTGCGACTGCTCCTCCCAGTCTGCGCGTACTTGTTTTGAGTTTTAAGTATTGAGGAGATTCAAGCTGTGCTGCTTTTGTGTGCGATCTATTGGTTTACTAAGGAGGTAATTAACAAAACGGCAGAAAAGAGACGAACACTAATACCAAAGCGTATTCATTTCAGAAAGCTCGTAATGCTAGATATAAAAGTAGACAACGTTTGTTATCAGCTATAGCGGACATGTCCGTGAGATGGATGGGACGAACGCGCGCCATCCGGCAGAGAGAACAAGGTAAAATAACCAATCAGCATGTTCAGCGCACAAGTCCCACCCCGAAAGTTCCTGAACTCTGAAAAAGTACTACCTCGCCAGCAGGGACTTTCTGGGGGGGAAATTTTTACCCGGAACTTCATTTAGACCCTGGTTCCTGCAGTGTAAACACACGGAGTACCACCCCAAAGTTCCTAGTTCCTGGGGAAAGTTCCTGCGGTGGAAACGCGGCTATAGTGCCATGGCATTATTTGGAGTACCAGGTTAATAATATAAATATGGAATACTACCAATCAAAAGATTGTGGTCAGTAATTGTTTGGAAAGTAGTCTCTTAAAGGGATTATTCACCCAAAAATGAAAATTAGCCCATGATTTACTCACCCTCAAATTATCCTAGGTGTATATGACGTTCTTCTTTGAGACGAATACAATCAGACTTATATTAAAACATGGCCTGGCTCTTCCAAGCTTTATAATGGCAGTGAATGCCTGTTTCTGTTTTGAAGTCCATAAAAGTGCATCTATCCATCATAAAAGTGCTCCAAACGACCCCGGGGGGTTAATAAAGGCCTTCTGAAGTGAAGCGATGAGTTTGTGTAAGAAAAATATCCATATTTAAAACTTTATAAAGTAAAATAACTAGCTTCCGGCCAAACGAACATACGGATTCGACTTAAGTCTAAGCGCAACTTATGCGAGTAATGCGATGTACTGCTGATATTTACGCTACGCCATGATGCTACTTCGGACGTCATAAAATGCGCTTTAGGCGCAAGTAGACTGAGTATGGACGTTTGGCCGGAAGCTAGAATTTTACTTTGTAACGTGCTAAATATGAATATTTTCTTACACAAACGCTTCGCTTCAGAAGGCCTTTATTAGCCCCCCGGAGTCGTGTGGAGCACTTTTATGATGGATAGATGCACTTTGATGGACTTCAAAACAGAAACAGGCATTCACTGCCATTATAAAGCTTGGAAGAGCCAGGACATTTTTTAATATAACTCTGATTGTATTCGTCTCAAAGAAGAATGTAATATACACCCAGGATGATTTGAGGGTGAGTAAATCATAGGCTAATTTTCATTTTTGGGTGAACAATCCCTTTAAGGCCTCATTTATGTGATAAATTACAGTAAAAAACAGTAACAGCAAACCAACACACCAGGTTGACTAGAAACATGAAACTATCCAGCCATGACTTCCTGTTTCACAGGAGTATAAATATAAGGAAACACAAAGGTCAAATTCCCTTAAACATCCATCACCATGGGTAAAACCTTAGTAGATTATTGGTGGCAATGGTTCTATGATCTACTTAGGCTTTTGATGCTTTTGAGAAACTCGGCCCTGATGCACAGCAAAAGATTGTTGAGCTTCACAAAACAGAAAGTGGCTGTTCCCAAAATTCCCAATCCGGACAATAATTAATAAGTTCCAATCAACAGGAAATGTTATAAATCTGCCTGGAAGAGGACGTGTGTCTATATTGTCCTAATGCAAGGTGAGGAGGAGAGTTTGAGTGGACAAAGACTCTCCAAGGACCAGAGCTGGAGAATTGCAGAGATTAGTTGAGTCTTGGTGTCAAACAGCACCTACATCACCACATGTTGTTTATGAGGGTTTCAATGAAAAATCCTCCTCGCTCATCCAAAAACAAACTCCAGCATATTCTGTTGTCAGACTCTACTGGAACTTTAACCAGGGGGCTATCAGATTAGACAAAAAAAAAATATTTTTTGGTCTGGATCCTGTTGCGAGCCTATTTTTCTGCAGGAGGTCCTGGACATCTTGTTCAGATAAATGGCATCATGGATTCTATCAAATATCAACGGATAAAAATAATCAAAACTTGACAGCCTCTGCTAGAAATCTTATAATGGGCCGTGGTTGAATCTTCCATCAGGACAATGATCCAAAAACAAAAACAAAAAAAAACCACAAAAATGTGTCACTCACCACAAAATTAAGGTTCTGACCCAATAGAAAACTGAAGAGGAGTGTATAAACATGGACCTGGGAATTTAAAGGATAAGGAGAGATTCCGTATGGAGGAATGGTCTCTGATCTCTTGTCAGGATTTCTCTAAACTCATCAGGCATTACAGGAGAAAACTCAGAGCTGTTATCTTGGCAAAATGGGGTTGCAAAAAGTATTGAATAAAAGGGTGTCATTAATCTTGGCTAATGTGTATTAGAGAAAAAATATTTATTTCATAATGAGATTTTGTAACATTAAAAATGTGTCACTTCAGAATAAAAGTATTAATTAAAAAAAAAATGTAACTGATGCCAAGCTTTTGAATGGTAGTGCATATTACAAAATATCATGGTATTCTCTCACCAAATCATTGTATTTCTTCACAAACAAACAAAACGCATATTACAACCTTGTACATAGTGCAGCATCATTAGATTATGCTTCTGTTTATTGTTTATTTTTTGCTAAACTGCATCTGTAATATAGCTTTTGCATAATCCTTCTCTTTTTCTAAGAATTTAAGGCCCTGAATTTGGATTTCACAAACTCTGTTGAGTGATATTAGTATGATATTACTCCAGCTTTAGAGTCAAAGTTCAGGATGAGCAGCATAGACTAGGTGACTGATTAATCAAACCATCACGTCAAATAGATGACCTATTAAACTCAGTTTGAGAAAATATCACCAGGTGACATTTTATTATCTCAGGCTAGTGACTTTTTCATGTTGGATGAAGCTTGATTTAACGTACACCCCAAATGTAAATAGGTTTTGTGTGGATGTATCATCTTATTAGACTCTCGAATGTTCCTTCAAACTTTAGGAAGAAGGTACATTGATGCATTCTTCATTCAGTTTAGTTCTGAAGCTTTATTCACACAGTTGGCTAGAAGTTTAATGGATAGCACTAAACATGAGACATACTTCATGAAGAGCTTAAAAAGATAATCTGAAGTGCAATCGCACTGTTCTGAGACTCTAATTTCTTTTTTCAATTTCCATTCTTTGTGCTGGAGACAGACTATATAAAAATCAAAATTTATGTTATTGGGCTCTGTGAGACAAGAGATTTTCCACAGGCACACAAGTAAAATATTAACTAACCTCACACGCATACACAAACACGGCAGATAACATCACACACCTAACAGACATCTTGTGGAAATACTTGTACAAATAATCAACATTTCAAAACTAATGCTGTGGAAGCTTGTTTCCTCCATAGTGTAAAAAAAGGTAATTGCAACATTTTAATCTTACTACTCACAATTCGTACTATACACTCACCTAAAGGATTATTAGGAACACCATACTAATACTGTGTTTGACCCCCTTTCGCCTTCAGAACTGCCACGAAGCTCCCGTTCCACCACATCCCAAAGATGCTCTATTGGGTTGAGATCTGGTGACTGTGGGGGCCATTTTAGTACAGTGAACTCATTGTCATGTTCAAGAAACCAATTTGAAATGATTCCAGCTTTGTGACATGGTGCATTATCCTGCTGGAAGTATCCATCAGAGGATGGGTACATGGTGGCCATAAAGGGATGGACATGGTCAGAAACCATGCTCAGGTAGGCCGTGGCATTTAAACGATGCCCAATTGGCACTAAGGGGCCTAAAGTGTGCCAAGAAAACATCCCCCACACCATTACACCACCACCACCAGCCTGCACAGTGGTAACAAGGCATGATGGATCCATGTTCTCATTCGGTTTACGCCAAATTCTGACTCTACCATCTGAATGTCTCAACAGAAATCGAGACTCATCAGACCAGGCAACATTTTTCCAGTCTTCAACTGTCCAATTTTGGTGAGCTCTTGCAAATTGTAGCCTCTTTTTCCTATTTGTAGTGGAGATGAGTGGTACTCGGTGGGGTCTTCTGCTGTTGTAGCCCATCCGCCTCAAAGTTGTGCGTGTTGTGGCTTCACAAATGCTTTGCTGCATACCTCGGTTGTAACGAGTGGTTATTTCAGTCAAAGTTGCTCTTCTATCAGCTTGAATCAGTCGGCCCATTCTCCTCTGACCTCTAGCATCAACAAGGCATTTTCGCCCACAGGACTGCCGCATACTGGATGTTTTTCCCTTTTCACACCATTCTTCGTAAACCCTAGAAATGGTTGTGCGTGAAAATCCCAGTAACTGAGCAGATTGTGAAATACTCAGACCGGCCCGTCTGGCACCAACAACCATGCCACGCTCAAAATTGCTTGTGATTGGTTGATTAGATAATTGCATTAATGAGAAATTGAACAGGTGTTCCTAATAATCCTTTAGGTGAGTGTATAACTCACAATTGCAAGTCTATATACACAATTCTGAAGGAGAAAAAAAAAGCTAGAATTGCATAAACAATTCTGAGGGGGAAAAAGACAATTGTGAGATAAACTTGCAATTGCAAGTTATAAAGTTCAAATTGCAAGATAAAGATTTGTGAGCTGACTTTTGTTCTAAGAAATGTGAGTTTATATGTTGTAATTCGCACTATATAACACCCAACTGCGAGTTTATCTCACAATTCTGAGGAAAAAAAAGATTTAAAATCATGAGATATAAACCTGTGATTGTGAGAGAAAAAAGTTAGAACAGTAAGATAAAAAGTCGCAATTACCTTTGTAATTTTTATTCCGTGGCAGAAACAAGCTTCCACAAATACTGGAAATTTCTATTAAAAAGATCGACATTTTTTTTTTTTTTAGGCTTTGATATTCTCAGCACACTCACTTTTCGCTTGACGTCTGACGCTACGCTGAAGAGGAGTGACATGTAAAACCCTAGTTCGATCATGTAGTACCAGTACTGAGAGGGCAGCAGCGGCTAGAGAGAGACAGAAAACAAAGAAATTAATCAAATATGTTGTTTTGATATCTCAGTGTGACAGTCAACAGAACAGACGTCATGATCCAAAGCTGTAGGATTATCTGGAATCAGTTTGCATATTTCCCATGGCAAATTCAAAGTTCTCTGCGTCTCCTCTAACTCTCTTATTTACATACTGTAGGCTTATCAACATGAAAGTTCACTGAAAGATCGCTTTAGATTAGGCCAATGTTGTGAAGACCCTTTTCAAATCTACAATCAATGGAAGAAGAATAAAAGAAGTGAACATACTAGCATTGGAAACCCCGCCCACATCTCCTCCATTTTGTAGAACCAAGGTTTCTGCAAAAGACAAACAATATGAAGAGAATATGAGCCAAGACAAAGAAGCTCTCACATTTCATCTCAACAAAAGCAATGCAGGTCACAAGTATGACATTACAAGTATGATGGAGGAGTAATGGTTCACTAGTATGGGTATTTTAACAGCCAATGCCAAAATCTAGAGAGCAAGTTGGCTGATAGCTGATGTAATGGTAGATATAAACCACCAGTCAAACATTTGGTTGGTTGATTGGTGTTTTAGCGGCATGCCAGCTTACTTGGCTATTTTTGTCTCGAGTGACAAGTTGAAATACTATAAAAGAGCAATTACATTTTGTTTTGCTTTGGAAAAAAACCTGGGTTCGCAAACACTTTTAGCAAACACTTTTAGTTTTGATGACTTTACTTTTATTCTAAAATGTATAAAATAGCAATAATAAAGAATAAGTAAGTTTGTCCAAACTTTGGATCTGTAGTTTACATATATAATTATGATAGGATATACATGTAATGTTAGCAAACAAGATGTACACGATATTGCTGAAATTAAATGGATACATTTATGGATAAAATTGGGAAAATTTCCAAATATTTCTATTAATTGTGAGTAAGTATTGTATAAAACAAACAACACTTTTCATTCATATATTTGAAACCCAAAAATTTGAACTATCCCTAGACAAAACAGAATTTTGAAAATGGCAGCCAACCAGCCAAGATTCAAAATGACAACAGCCATACTAGGAAACATATAAATTAGTGCTGTCAAATCAACTAATCGCGATTAATCACATCAAACATAAAAGTTTGTTTACATAATATATGTGTGTATATATTATATGTCTGTGTGTGTATATACACTGTATACACACACATTTATATAAATGTGTGTATATGCACAGTAATAGACAGACAGGCACACATATATATAATATCTAAAATAAAATAATATATATATATATATATATATATATATATATACCCAAACATATATTATGTAAACAAAAACTTTTAAGTTAGATGTGATTAATCGATTTGAGAGCACTAATATAAATATTAAAGGCCAAAAGTAGGATTTGGTTCATGCCGATAAAACTCAAAATGATCAAACATTGGTCGATATACTAGTATACACTGATATAATAACAAATAGGAAAAGGGAAGCGTTTGAAAAACTTACATCAATAAGTGCAGCAAGGCCAGCAATGAAAGCAAGAAGGTAAAAGGTAAATCTCCAACTGTAAGAAAATGTACATCCATTTCAGCAAACGACATATATTAGCAACATAATATAAAAAGCAATGCATCTCTCATATCAATAAATGTCATTATTATTTGGATTATTGGTTCCAAAACATTATTTGATCACCAGCCATTCAATTCAAGGGTCTACACTTATTTTTGCATTATGAAGTTACTACAGGACACACATCAACAAAATGTACAAAAACAAGCCGATAGAGTCCACTCACAATACAAACTGTACTATTACAAGACCACATCACGAACAACAGCACCTAAGCCTATATTTAAAGCATCTATGACCTACTATTGTGACTGACAGTAGGAGACGGCATGATAACAACAACCTAATTTAAAGGATGTTTTCAAAGCTCAATACAAGTTAAAAGCTATTGACAAGCCTTTGTGGCATAATGTACATTACCACAGAAAATAAAAGACGCAATTACAGTAGTGCACTTAGCCTACAAGTAAACCGGGTCATGCACTTTTGAAATATGAAGCTTGTTAAAATCACCTACATGAATTATATTTGAACTGTAAGGTGGTGTAAATTGTAATTTGTTTTGTAAGTGGATGAACTTCAATGCAAGTGAAAAATGCTTTACATGGCCACAAATTGATAAAACTTTGCACAGACATGGTTGGTAAACAATATCACACTAATCGTGTGTTGAAACGTATAATATTGAAAAGTGTACTCTCAAAACTGTGTGGATTGAGATGTTTGCTGCTCAGCCTGGTTATTTTATCTGCATTTTGTTTTTAATGAAATGTATACATTTTGAGGGACGGTTTGAAAAGGTAATCAACATTATCCCAAATGCTTCGGATAAATCTTAACTTGTATTGAACCCTGCACATTCCTTTAATCACACGTATTGGATGCGATTCTGAAGCACAAGACAAATAGATGTTGAAATGTCAAGGGCGAGATATTAAAGGAACAACCCACAGTTAGTAAAACACAGTGAATTTTTGCATGGGTAATGCATGGATAGATTAGCCAAATTGTATTCCGTTTATTAACACCACATACCGTTTCTCCAGTGTGAAATAGACTTCCTACCACCTAATAGAAAATGTATGTTTTTTTTTTTTGTTGCACAGTGAATATTGTGTAATAATTGCATACCTTGCCATTCTCAGATTACTCAATCATGTTACTCAATCATTTTATGATGTTTACGAGCAGTCAATTGCTTTTTGCAAGACTTGATACAGAATGATGCAATTTATGACCATTTATGAAAGGATGGGATCGGACAGCCTGTGTGTATCGCTCTGTACCTGGCCTCTCTGAACTTCTTCAGCTGGTTTGGTCTCTCTTGATTCCGTCGTCGCCGGAACCATCTGTGGATATGTCTCTCTGAGTACCCGGTCTTTTTACCTAAACTCTCGATTTCACCCTGTAGAGTAACGTAGAACGTGAAGGGTCCGTTAATGGTGAAATATGAGTTGAGTTAGATATGTCGATCACAAGTAGACTGAAAAAAATTCAGTGCATACATTTTTCTGCATACATTTATCTATTTATTTAACAGAAGCTTGCAAATGAGGAAACATTCAAAAAGAACATATACATAGGGTTGTTCTGTACTGATGAGTTGGACAGTGTAGAATATGTTGAATTGTACCTGTTTGGGATTTTTACTTGTGATTCTGAAGTACGACTCCATTATAGGGTCGTGAGCCACTCGCACTCGGGTTTTCTCCTTTACGCCCATAGCTGTGGCCAGACGAATGGCCACCGTCCTAAAGTTGATGAACAGTGTTAAACTCTCAACACTTGAGTTGGAAAAACTGAAAACACTGCATCAATGTTAACCATATTTAAAACATTGATCATTCAAAGGTTAAGTTTTTGAAATTTCACACCATGTCAAACATAATTCAGATTGATTACTAAATGATTCCATTTACAAGACAGATGATGAAATATCAAATATCCTACATCTGTGCTGCAGTAAACAGTTGTTCACAGTAAGTTTAATTCACTCCATATTACACATATTATGCTAAGATTTAAAAAATATATATTTTTTAAAGAAGTCTCATATCCTCACCAAGGTGCATTTACTTGAACAACTATAGTAAAAACAGTAATATTGTGAAAGGTTATTACAATTAGTTTTCTATTTTAACACATTTTATTTCTGTGATGAAAAGCTGAATTTTCAGCAGCCCTTATTTCAGTGTCACATGATCCTTCAGAAATCATTCTAATACGCTGCTCAAGAAAAATTTCTTATGATTATCATTGTGCTGATTCATATTTTTTGGGAATCAGTGTTAAATGTTTTTCAGGATTCTTTTATGATGAACAGCATGCGTCTATACATGCACTTCTGATAAAAAAAAAGCCCAGTGCATAAACCATGTGTTGCAAATACAATATTGACATTGGCGTTTCTTAACCACATAAAAACACTCAATCTAATGCTGACCTTTCAAAGACCTGACGTATGATAAGGAAGACGAGGGCGATGGGCAGGGTCACCCAGAGGTCAGATGCTTTGGAGTAGATGACACCATCGCGATCCTCCAGGTTGGCCCAGCCCAGGCCTTCTGGAAACCACAGCCTCTCGTTCCAGAACCACTCTCTCAGCCCGGACAACATCCTGATGCAGAGGAAGACACATATGACATATTCAGACATTTTGAAAGACTAGCCTAAAATTAAAAGTGATTTTGTGGGGCTTCTGGGAGACACATACACACACATCACTCGCACACAGAGATCGGAGTTCGTGCTTCGCATCCACAGAAACTTGACATCAACGCTGCTCTGCAACTTTTTTCTTTTAGTTCATCCACTTACAACACAAATTATATTTTACACAACCTTACAGTTCAAATATAATTCATGTTAGGTGATTTAACAAGCTTCATATTTCAAAAGTGCATGACCTGGTTTACTTGTAAGTGCACTACTGTAATTGCGTCTTTTATTTTCTGTGGTAATGTACATTATGCCATATCTTCTTTACCTACCTACTGTGAATTTCATTTCAATGACAGTTTAGGAGATATTCACTGATAAATGTTAGACAAGGTGCTGTAATGGATCTAACCCTTACTTAGATCCTTAAGTAAGGGTTAAGGATCTAAACGTATCTTAAAGCTGCTCTTGTCCATTCATCAAAAGTGAATGGGGATAGAAGCTATTAAACTTTAAAATTATCTTAAAACCATCGATACACTATATTCCTAGTTTTTATAAGAGCTATGTGTGTGTGAATCAGTTCGGCCCACTCTCTGAAAATCTTCCCATCTCATTCACGTTACTCAGATAAATTAAAAGACAGGTTTGGTGTCAATATATGCTTGATTTACCTTTTTTCTTATGCCTTAATCATTTTTCATTGTGACTTATTTGAGGGTAAGGATGATTTTTTTTATATATATATATAAAAAAAGCTATTTTACAGCTTCAGAAGACTTCTAACACAATTCATAACACATGAGCTGTGGACTCATATGAACAGAATACTTATCCATTTTACATAAATTGATGTATTGAATTGAACAAGACGAGTTTAAGTAAGGATGGATTCATGAATGATTTAAAACAACAACAAAAAAATGCAGTGAAAGTGAACGGTGATCTGCTTTTGGGTTTTAAAGATAGAAACTCAAACAGGTTTGAAAAGTCACAAGGATGAGGAAATGGTTTTTATTTTCACATCTATGACGCTAATTACATTACTAACAGTACATTTTAAACTTTGTTGGGATCTTGGCTTAGTATGCTGAAATACAAGTTTGAACAGGAATGAAAACCTCTTGTAGAGCTTAAAATCAACTGCCAGGACCATACACCAGGAAAGCGAGAGAAAAAAGAAGCCTGGCAGAAAACAAAGCTGTTGCATATTATTTTTACTTTTCAGACTCATTAATTCCCTCAAATTTTGGTGTGGTAATTACTGCTGTTCCGTGGGTGTGTCCACGGATTACAGTGTGTGTGTGTTTACTACTCACTGCTCCTATTGTGTGTGCACTTACTTGGATGGGTTAAATGCAGAGGACAAATTCCAAGTATTGGTGTTACCATAATTACCCTTCACATCAAATGTCCCTTGTAAATATTTTATTCATATTGATTGAATTTTATGTTGCAACGGAGGTGTGGGTCACATCTGTGAAATTTCAGTGAAATTTTGAGGGCAAAAAGGTCCATTGTACAATGTCAACAGTGTAACAATGTAATCTATGAAGTTGTGATGTTATCCGCTTAAGTTGTGCGTAAGGAATTCTGTTTCCGGGTCCAAGCCTTCTACTCATTTCTAGACGTTTATGGGCACTGTTGATTCAGATCACACATTTAAGATAAGCTTTTTAAATGGTGTACACTCACAGTCTCACGGCATCCCAGACTTCAATATTTTAACGATTCATAAAAGCTGAATAACTGTGATCATCTGAGATTATTTGCGTATAGAGACAAAGGTTAGGATCGTGATTTTTCAGTAGTATTACAGTGGCACTGTGAGTGTACATTAGCACTGTTTGTTGTTTGCTTTAGGCAGCTGATAGAGCTTTTGGACCGGAAATAGTGACGTCAGACTTAACAAAAGAAGATTGAGAGACAAATCTTTTAAAGTGGAGTATACTAAAAAAAACATTTGGTGAACTTTTAATTAGTGCAGTCAAGATGTTAATGCAATTTGTACATATTTTTTTTACATGGAACATATTTGTTTCCATGCATTTTGTTGAGATGTCTTATCTTGTATAGCCTATTGTATATAAATGGTTGATTATTCTTGTTGCTTATGTATTCATTGTTATTTGACCTATTACTAGATTTTTTCAAAGTGTATGTATTAAAACGTATCTAATATGCTATAATAATAACTATTCTTATTTTGTATTTGGTTAAGTTTGTTTATTACCTTAGAAGTTAATGGTAACTATGGTACCACCAAGAAATAAAGAATAAAGAAATAAAACGTTAAACTCAGTTCCTGGAGGGACCCAAAGCAGTTCCACACAATGCTTCATATAAGAGTTCCTCAGGGAACCACCACTTTTGAACGGGTTCTGCTGGAGTGGTAAAGTGAGGAACCCCAAAAGGTTCCTCCAGGATCCTTTCATTTTTACAGTGCTCAGAGGAATCATGTAAGATTCACAAAAAATTTGTTTCAGAATCGTGGCCAAAATTGTAGTGTGTACCAGGCTTACGTTGCTGGCTTGCAACAGGCTTTAGAATCTGGAGCACACAATAATGCCTTAAAATACTGTCTATGGAGGCAGCTCAATAGTGTTTGAACAGAGCATGCGTTTAAAGTACAATATTTACACATTACACTGCCAATAAACCTTCATAGAACACAAGTAACACATTAAGAGGACTAAATATGCTGCCATTCCCTTAGCAAACACTCATGTCATCCACCCTCAATACTGATAATCCACATTATTCATTCAGAAACTAAATGTGGGCTGATGAGCTATCATTTTAACCACAAAGAAAGTCAACTTTCTGTAAAAGATGAGCTCTCCTGAGAGGGACATGAACACATCCCTGGTACAGATTGGTGAACCATTCACACGGGTCCAAGAAAATATGTGGAGGACTTTTCAATGAAAGCCCCTCCTTATCCTCGTGCTGCTGTCAGTGACACGGTTTGAGCGGATGGGTCGACAGCTGTACTAAAGCCTGCTCTGTTTCAATGGAATCATTCTGAGAGGTCAGCATGACATCATGGCCGCTGTCATTGGCTGGCAGCGGCTGAAAAGCTGCACTGTCACCTGTGGTAATGAGCACTGCTTGGAGCCGGCCAGGCTTGAGAATGAGATGGATTCTCTCCCTTGCTGTGCCATTCTGTGTGAATGAAGAGCTAAATGCACAGTGATAACACAGACTGTCAGAATGTTATCTGAGCAAGCCTTGAATATATCAGCAATGTCAAAGTGTCAAACTTTGATAGAAGACCTGCACTGTTATGACTGAAAAAATTCAATCATAGATGACTTCATAATTCAGAATCTTTCCTTTTCAATAATATCTTTTTATGTTGAGGGGGAATCCAAAACACTGTTTATTAGAAATCACCACAGCTACTGATGGATGTTTTCACAAGCATTGGTGAGTTCGAAATAGCAAAATGTCTCTCAGAGGACTTAATTAATTTCCAAGCATGAAATAAGACATTGGACTTTGAACATGGAGTCTAAAGACTGTCTGTAAAAGTCAGCTTTCGTTTGCATTCACTCTCAGCTTTGAAGAATTGTTTGGTTAGCAAATACCCAAACTATAAAAGGCAGCTGGAGAGCCGTAGTTGTGTTTTTGTTCATGAATGAATCAGTGACTGACAGAAAAAAGATAAATCAGCTTTGCTGTGTTTTGTGTGAAAAAATGCATTTGATGTTTAAAATTGTGATGTAGGGGAAGTAGCAAGAGAACTTTTATTCCGTATTGTGACGTGTATACGAGTGTAGCGAATTATCGGAAAGGAAAAAATGTAGACCGGGACTTGGTTCTATGGATCAGCTGGACAGTTCACGTATTGTAACTGCGCAGCGCTTCTGTGTTGTACGTCACACGTAAGCTATTGGCCGACACTGGTCATGTGTGTGATGCGTGTGATGTACAACACAGAAGCGCTGCGCTGTTACACTACGTGAACTAACTCGAGGCCCACAGAGAAGGAAATGAATAGTTGAATAAAGTTGTTATTTTTGTTTGTTTTTTTGCACACAAAAAGTATTCTCGTCGCTTGATAAACTTAAGATTGAGCCACTGTAGTCACTCGGACTATTTTAACAATGTCTTTCATAACTTTTCTGGACCGGCAAGTTTCAATCCCATAGAAGCCTATAGAGGAGTGATCCAGCTCTCAGATTTAATCAAAAATATCTTAATTTGTGTTCCGAAGATGAACGAAAGTCTTACGGGGTTGGAACAACATGAGGTTGACAGAATTTTCATTTTTGGGTGAACTATCCCTTTAAACGGACTAAAAAATTGGAGAAAAATTAAAAAGTGCATTGATGAGTTGTTCACAATGAGATTTATAACATGCATTTAGAATTAATGAATGATTTCAGTGAATGATTCAATGACTATTTCATAAAAAGTATGCATATTTGAATACAAAACAATACACGTTTCATGTCCAAATATGCCTATACTTCCATATTATACAGAGTATACAAAAAGTAGTAGGTCAAATGAGTATTATGTCCATTTATTCAATATTCATAAAATAGGAGCAAAATAGGGATGACCTGAACTAATCTTTTAGTGAACAATTCCATTTAAAACTTATCAAAGGACATAGATTTTTCTTTTGAAAACTTAATTAGTAGGGCACAACAACAAATAAAAATAAAATAAAAAATGGGAAGTTACAACGTCAAGTGCATTCAACAAACTTTAGTCGGAGCAAGATGATGGTGTACCTTCTCTTAATTAAAATACAGCAAGGTTTTTGAAATCTACGTCTAAAAAATGAAGAACAAAGAATGTACATTAGGTGTATTTAGCAGTTTAATGTTTTTAATTAATTCATAAAGTCATTGTAACTATTGTAAACTTTATCATTACATATGTTGTTTTTATATTACAATGCTACTATATTTTGTGCAGTGAATTAACTTATTTTGTTGTAAATAAAAAAGCCCAACAAAGTCACAGCCAAATACCTATATAAATAGTGGCTTTCAGTCAGGTTTCTCACTGACACGCCCCAACTTGAAAAGAAAATCCAGAGCTTCCCATTCGTATTTAGGACTTTGTGGTGGCGTGATCTCGTGCATACGATATTTTCGACATGACTTGCCCGCACCATTATCCTTTTACTCCACGTATGCCATGACGTCATACATAGGTATGAGAGTCCACTTCAAAGCCCTCGAGGCTCGAGTGCAACACGAGACGATAATCACAAGTTGATACGTTGATGATATCGTACAGGAGAGATCAGTTAGCCTTCCATTATAACGGTTTACATTAAAACCTGCTTGTGAAAAACAGCCGACGTCCTTTAGCGTGAAAACATTCGAGGCTAACAAGATTCGCTCCTGTTGGTCTTCAAAAGACTAACTTATCTAGGTAAAATCCTCAATTTTGCATTCACTCACAAAGCATTCTCCGAGCAGCTTTCAAACATGGAACCCGCTACTTAAAACCAGGAAAGAGGAAACATTGTAGGTGTTCCAAATTATTGATGCATTTCGACGTATTACTACACGAACAAGTTACGACGGATATTAGTTCGTAGTCTTGTTGTATTCACAACAGTGCATACTTAACATCACGCGCTACTAAATGTTACGTTACTTCCATTGCGCCGTTCCCAGTGTAGGCCGTATACATCATCAAACAACTGACTTCAAGAGGCGATCGAGCCAAAACACAACAGTAGGTTAAAAAATACAACAAATATGAATGTGTGAAAATAAATTTAAGAAAAGGTCAGCTCAACTACAAAGAGCGGCGCGGGAATAAGCATAACTGCGTATTACGGTACTTACTTTCAGCAGTAGTGCGAAACACACGGATGTAAGCGCGTGAGGAGATGAGATGAGATGGATTTAGGAAAGGTGCATGAAAAGGGGGTGTAATCTCGCAGTTATTCAAGGCAATCTGTACAATTGTGATCGTTCTTCATAATCCATAATCCAATCTGTCAGCATAGTTTTCTTAAATCCGCGTAATAAGAAAAAACCGCCAAAGGAAGGCTGGCGTTAAAGCTGACGTTCAAACTCTTCCACTTTTTGGTGTTTCCCCCGCTTCGTTCACTGTTGGTAGCTCGAATTATAAACTTTTCTCTTCACATGTCCGAGTTTAAAGTGTCTAGACGTACTTTTGCCGGATGTTGTTGAGAGCCGAATCGAGGCAGGCGAATGAAAGACAGAAGAGGTGGGCCAAAAAAAAAAAACGAGGAGTGCGATTCTAAATATGAAGGGCGGGGCAGAAGCTATTTAAGGTGACGTTTAACTGCATGCGAGTTGTGACGTTTTAAGGATGACGAAACCTTTGAGGAAGCTCTGTTATTGTTAGCTGTAAATTACTAGGGTGATTATTTGTGGGTCTCAATTGAAAAAAATATCATTGAACTAGAAGTATAATACCTGAAGAACCATAATTGCATCACAACAAGGCATTTAATTTCATGACAATGACACAAAGTCCGTCCAATTACAGATTTGTATCTATATGGATTATAGAGTAGCCTTATATTATTTTAAACATGATGCATTTGTTATATACACCACTCAAAAACAGTAACGGTTTGCTATTAATATTAGTTATGCATTTGTTTTTTGTTGTTTTTTCCCCCAAAATTAAAAGAATTGCCTTTTTCCTATTAATATTAAATCATATTAAGTTAATATTTTTCAGTTCTTATAAAACTCTATATAAACTCAGAATAAAATTCTGTTGTGAATTTTTTTTAATCCAGAAGGTAAACACTTTTCATTTCTAATTATTGTTTTCAATGTGCATGTCTTTGATTACTAAAACATCAATTTTAGTTTTGTCCATCTTGCAATTGTTGAAATTAGCAGGATAATTCAAATAATTTGTGAGGAATTAAAGTTCATACAGCCATTATAAATATGCAGTAATGTTGATACACAGCCTTTTCCAAAACCAATGAAGACTAGAGCATACATAATTAATGAGTGAAAATATGTTCTGCTGCAAGTTGGTATCAATATATATTTTAAAGATCACAAAATATCACAAATACACATACATTTATTCCATTAATGACACACAGGCACAAACAAAAAAATATTGTTTAAAATTTTATTCAAATTTTTTTTTGTAATCGACAGGTTGTGAAACAACAGTTGAAGAAAATAAATAGAATAATAATAATAATAATAATAATGATTGTTCATTAATGGTAAATCTGTAAATAAAATGTCTAAAAATACATGGATTCATCGGAACATGTGCCAATGATCCTCTATCTTCATAAATAATTTAAAAAATGCCCTCCAAGAAATTGATAAATTAATTGCAAAAAAGGATAGAAATCATTTTCCCTAAATAATAATAATAATAATAATAATAATATCCCAAATGTTTAAATCTTGACCTTCATTTTAAAAGCATGATATATACAATGAAATACATTTTTAACGTTCGTGAATCTTCTCGAATCATCCACAAATTTTTTTCCATAAAAAGAAAGAAAAAACGAACAAAACAAAACAAAAAAAACCTCTAACTACAGCATCTCTGTGATAAACTATATTCAGTCATTTTAGGGAGGATTGCAATATAGGACCAGCATCCTATTACCACAGGTCATTTGTTTCTGTAAGAATTAAAGATGAAGAACTATGTATAACTGGACTCAGATTAGAGACCAAGAGCAAATCCTTCCAAACTCCCAAAACGTCTCTAGCTACCGTACCACCCATGATTCTTTGCTCTGATCGCGTGGACCCAGCCCCACCCTCCCAACTGTTTCGATATGTCTACACATGGTCCCCTGGAATTTCTATATACATATTTTAGATTGCTGCAGAAAGACTTTAATAGTCCGAAGTTTTTCTTTTGAACCCAGATGTGAAACTCGTGTAGTACTGACATATTAGCGTTGGTCCCATTTGTGTATGTATGTATGTGTGTGTGTGTGTGTGTGCGCGCGCAAGGCGTAGATGTGCGGGTCGACGGCAGAAAGGTCACGACCCACAAGCACACGGCACAACAGCTTGTGAAGCAGAAGAGTGAGTGGAGTTGCGTTGCTGATTGGTCCTATATCGTATACTGTTAAGGTAGTAAATCATTCTATTTAACCTGCACCTCCTGCGATAAGTCTGTCTTTATTATTATTAAATGTATATTTTTGTTTAAATAATCTCGGTAGGTCTTATACTGTAGTTTTGCGAAAGTTGTTGGTCCCGTAATTTGCAGCAGAGGAAAAGTGACTCCGTTAGTCCTCTCCTTTCTTCCCTGTGAGAGAGAGAGAGAATGAAAACAGCAGTTAGGAGCAAGTCACACCGATCCACAAAAAAACACTCCTACTTGTTTCACAAAGTTAGCATTTGGGAAGGTTATCTAATGCTTACCATTCTATACTTCCATGCAACCTATGTTGTGAGTCAGTGAATGGTTTTTCTTTTCTTTTTTTAATGCAAGTGTGTGTTTTTCTGTGTTAGTGTTTAAAGTGGGGAAACATTTCTGGCAGGCAAACAAATTTCCAACATGCACCATAGGAATTCTGGGCTGTATCGTTTTTCAGATGGTGACTTAACTGCGTCTTTTTGAGTGCTCAAACCAATGATCGAATGTAGTTAGACTGTAAAAATAACCCAGAATTCCTACAGAGGAATGCTGTTCTTTGGTCGGCACAATGCGTTACTTTTCTCACCAAAACAACCACAAAGTGTCACCTCAAACCTCAGCGTGAGAGGTTTGAGAGGTAGAATGAATGAAGTTCCCTACCTCTTGCTCTCTCGCTCTCACGCACGAATCGTTCGCATCACTCACGCAAGCACGTACACAAGCTCACTCGTTGGCACGAAACAGCATACCCACTAGCACAAACTCTCTTGGAATCAAATACAACCACACTGAGACCCCCACCCCCACCCCACATTCACAGTAACTATAACACCACCAGACTACATATGGGAGTATTTTGTAGAAGAAGTAGAGTCATGACCAAACAAAACACAGAGGAGACTGATCAAAAACAAAATCCACCCAAAAGTAGCACATTGAGCTGGTTGATTAGAGTTCAATAGGATCAATTTAGTTGGAGTAACTCCATTAGCTACGAGTTACGTTGAGAGTAAATCACAGATGTAGTGTCAGTTATTGATCAGTATTTATAAAACAAAAAGAGAGTCACAACGCACCAAACACAGTCCATAGTCACCACGGTAACCCGCCATGCACTCTCAGCATGGAGGATACATGACAAAGGGCCAAAAAACAAAACTGCTAATGGCAACCATCACAGGCAGGAATATCGCCACAGCAACCAACACAGGCCAATCAACTTACAAACCAACGCTGTGGGAGGAAGGGGGAGCTTTATTGGTTGCTAGGCCACCGTAGCCATAGCGACGTGGTCTCCGCACGAGTTATGATTGGACGGGGCAGCCTTGGTGCGGATGAGGTTGTGTTTGTTTGTTTGATTGTTTTTTGAACAATGACACAGCACAAAAACAATAAATGAAAGTAAAAATTAATTTTCGACTGCGTTTTTTTAAGATCTAATGCTGATGAGTTATTTAGGTTACAATTCTTTTAATAAATCAATCAAAACAGGATATTCTGGCTAGACTTGTTAGTTTAGAACTGGTCACACATTATAAAGCATAACACAGAGATTTAGAGAAGAGGCGCTTGTTATCTTTTCTGGGTTTCCTCACCTGTTTGTCTCAGTATGGGCGGTTGGCGTCTTTAGGCCTCTTGAGCTGAACTTTAAGCCTCTTCATGCCGATCTGAAAGCCGTTCATGGCCTGGATGGCAGCCTGAGCGCTCGCCGGGTTGTCAAAGCTTACGAAACCTACGACATGAGGGACGTGACCGGCAAGAAGAAAGAAACAGAAGATGAAAAAGCTGCGGAGGAAGCGCATCGGTGAATGAGTCATGCTTGTCATTTAAACCGATTCAACGGCAAACTTCTGCTTGCAGCTGTGGAGAGATTTAACAGACTAAGGCCAGGTTTCATATACAGGATTCGGCCTTAGTTCAATTAGGGCATTTAAGGAACTTTTATAAACATGCCTTTGAAAAAAACATTACTGGTGTGCATCTTGAGACAAAACAATGGCACTGACATATTTTAAGATATATCAGTACAAGTTGCATTCGATTAAAACAGCTCAAACGTGCATTTTAGTCTGGGACTAGGCTTAAGCCTTGTCTGTGAAACCGGGGGTCAATTAAATAACTAGATTGATAATTAAATATGTCATCATGTTGCAATAAATAAATAAAAGTACAATGAAATGTAAGCATAGATAAATACATAAGGCGTGCCGTGAAACACATTTAATTTGTTTCCCACCGTCAAGACTTTGACAATTTTCATTTCAAGGCGTATCTTATGTCGTATTTCAGATGACTTTTCATGTTACACAAGTTAATACATTTCACATCCAATTTATTTATTTGTTCTCACTTTTCATTATGCTTATTGACTGCAACATTTAATTATATATTACATTATTTTGCGATAAATTACATTGTCTGCATCATTTTATTTAATGTATTTCGTATTCCATGAGGTTTTTTATTTCAGGTGGCATTTAAGGTCCTTTTTAAAGGTGGAGGAAGTGATTTCTGAGAATCATTGTTGAACACTGGTGACATTTGAAATCAACCCAAACAAACACACACCTCCCTTCATTGCTCCGCCCCCAAAATGCATGAACACGCAATGCACGAGCAGATGTCTTTATCATAACAGAAGTGAGGCAAAATAATGCTTCATGGTAAAAATAAAGCGAAGATGACGAACGAATGACAAGCAAGAACATGTCATGTCATTCAAAATGAACATACACTACATCAAAGTACATAAAAGCATGAGTTTGTTGTTATAGCCAGAAGCACAACAGCTCTAGACAAACAATGAGACTCAAAACTGTCCTGTTACTGTAGCTAACATTACAACAACAGCATATCTTGGTTCTGTGAAACAGCAAAACCAATGTTACTCGCGTATGGAGCAGAAACAACATGACCTCACGTCCGTTTTCAGGCCTTCTCGCTTCAGTCTCTCCGGCGCTGGAAAGCTTTTCTAATATTAACGTGGGTCCTAAAGCTCTTACCCTTCTTTTTCCAGTGATATTCCTCTGAGCTTTTCTCTTTTGTAATGTCTCTCAGCCATCTCTCTTTCTACAGTCTTTCATCAAATCTCCCTCTCTTGCTCACTCTCTCTCCTCCCCCTCGTGAGTGGACACACCCCCTACTGATGATTGGCTACAAGTGTGTCATGGTGCTCGGTCCGTTTCTCAGAAATCACTTATTGCACCTTTAATGTTACATGAAAAAAAGAATGGTATTTCATTGCAACATTCCACGACACATTTAATCATTTAAAGGTGCTATATGGAACTTTTCTTCTAAAATGAATCCTTTTTTTATTGCCTGTGTGTGAAGGGGTTGCAATCACACATTACAATGAGCCACTTGTTCCAGAGATACGAGATACGAGCGATTTTCTTCTGAGATCGTGACGTCACCGGCGTCCGCAATTTTGCAGCGCGCCCGATGGTTTTCTGCTAATATCTCCGCGAAAACACCACCAAAAACTATGGAACTTATATGGTTCTTTTCAGCTCGACTAGATGGTCCCAACGAGCTCGGTGCTCGCCGAATCCGTCTAGTATTCGCCGAGATATTTGCGTAATAGACGGTATTGTCTATGAGTTTGAGCACGAGCGCTCTTGTAAAATTTGGTTGCAATCTGAAACATCACCACTAGAGGCCGCTAAAAGTTACGTAGAGCACCTTTAATGGACATTTTTTAAAATTTCATTTAGTGTGTTATATCCCTCCACATATTGCATCTAAATCGCTCTTTAGAAATCACTCACCAAAGCATTTGCTCTGATTGGTGGCGCGGTCAACGAACACCTTGGCTGAGATGACATTACCGAAGGGCAAAAACATCTGCAGCATCTCCGAGTCGGTGAACTCCTGAGGCAGATGATAAATAAAGATATTGCAGCCTTCTGGTCCTGGAGAGAGTAAGCAGAGAGAAAGAATGAGCCAAAAGGAAAGAGGAAATGCAATACATGAGACCACACGATTACACGTTTGTTTGTTTTATCATAAAAGGAAGTAATCGTGTTGATTTCTGGAAGAAACATGGTGCTTTGAATCTTTTGGCGGCACAGCATGAGATTAGAGAACAAAGATCGAGAAATATGTTCGATCAATCAAAACAGGATGTCAGTGGTCATAGTACCCAGTGAAACAGGAAATTACATTGTTACCTTCTCGTTGTTGCAGCTGCTGCGGCTGCTGGGGTTGCTGGGCAACTAAGGTGGGCTGATGTGGAAATGGTTGACCGACCAATCCATAAGCAGCAGGATATGTAGCTGTGGGTGGAGTAATGAGGTCAGACATGAGACCAGAGTAAAGTCATCTTTTCAAGTGCCATTCTGCAGTCTGTATTTGTTATATTGAGCAGATAAGACCTTGAGAAAGACAAACTGCTTGCTATAAAAATAGCCTAGCCTAATTTAGCAGTCCTTCATTGTATCTCAGTAGCAAAAATAACCACTGAGTGTTGTAAATCTCGATTAATTTCTCTGAATCCGTTCTTTCGACTATCCACGTCAATAAATTCATTAATTCTGCAATTCATTTACGTCTTTATCGTTCACGGAAGTCCACATAATTTAAAATGTTTTACTAAAAATTTTGTATGTAGGTAATTACAGCTGTTTATGAATATTTATTGTTAGATTGGTGTATATACTGTAAATAAAAACTTGAGTAAAAAAATCTTGTGTTAATTCAGTGAAAACATGACAAAATGTGGAAAACAGTGTTTGTTTATTGTAACTACATTAGGTTGTATTTTACTTCTTGCTTTTGAATTGTCAAATGGTCTAAGCATTGGGGGTTCTGAAAAAGGGAGTACTACTGTATATTTCACATTCTTCACAGCTGACAAATCTCAGAAGGAGTATTAGGAGTTGAGAAGCCTCACCCGTGTAGTGTTGCATGCCTGTATACGCCTGCTGGAGAGGATCCAATGCAGGGCTCTGAGCTGAAGGATACACAAATATTGAAAACAAACAGAAGAATAGGATGAGACAATTGGTATAACATATAATTATGTATACATACATCAGTAAAAGCAAAGTGTGAAGGTTGAATTAGCAGAACAATAGCAATAGTTCATAAAATATAGCAATCCACACAACATAATGGGAGAAATATCAGAGTGGCTCATCTGTGACCAGGACAGCAAGTCTTTATGGAGTATGGAGAGTATATGGTAGTCAGGGTAATGTCGGCATACCACCACGTAGGACTAACTACATCTAACAGGAGTAACTGCCGTTGCAAGAGGAAGCTGTCTGAAAGGGATGTCCAGGTACTAACTCGGATTGTATTCAAAAAACATAAAACCACAGCTGCCCAACACTCTACAGAATTATAACTCCTGTTTCCACCAAAACTGTTTGTCGGAAGCTCCACAGGGTCCAAACTTTGGCCACTAGTGCCAATGTCAAATGTCAGTTTCATTGGTGCCAACAGTGTAAATCTTGGGCTGTGGACAATGTGAAACATGTATTGTTCTCTAATGAGTCCACCTTCACTGTCTTTCCCACATCCGTAGGAGTTACGGTGTGGAGAAGCTCCAAAAAGGCTTAACATCCAGACTGTTGTGTAAAGCACAAGGGTGGATCAGTGATAGTTTGGGCTGCAATATCAAGGCATTCCCTACTGTGTTTGATGGGCAATTTGACAAGGACTACCAAACCATTCGGGAGCTACATGTGCACCTAATGGTTCAAACATTGTACCCTGAAGGGTGTGCCTTGTATCAGCATAATAATGCACCAATACACACAGCAAGACTTGTGACAGAATGTTTTGATAAACATGAAAGTGAAGTTGAACATCTGTCATGGCCTGTAAAGTTACCAGATATAAATATTTTTAAGCCACTTTGGGGTATTTTGGAGCAAGTCAGAAAACGTTTTCCTCCACCAGCATTATATAGGGACCTGGCCATTCTTCTGGAAGATGAATGGCTCAAAATCCCTTTGGTGACTGTGCAGAACTTGTATCCGTCATTCCCAAGACGAATTGATGCTGTATTGGCTGCAAAAGGAGGCCCTACACCATACTAATAAATTATTGTGGTCTATATAAAATATGATGATATAAACATTATATATTGTAAAGCATCACAATAAAATATTTGTAAAATACTGAGTATTGTTATTAAACAATGATACAATATAGCATTATAATTTATAAACACTGGAGGAAGGTCCTCACCCTGATATGGGTGGACACCATTGGTGTAGAGGGCTTCAGTGGCAGACTGGCCATTGGGTGGTGCAGAGACTTGTGGGTAACTGTTGACGATTGGAGGCAGAGCAGGCACAGGTGTGGCAATGGTTGGAGGAGTGTTCGTACCTACAGCGGAACGACCGATCATGAATACACAAATTCAATCAAATACAAGAACATTTGGAAAGAACTTGAAATGCTAGATGTGAAGGACCGTGTTGATGTTGTAGGAGACTTTCATGTACCTGAGGAGGGTGTGATTGAAGCGATGGGTGTGGCTATGATGCTGCTGGGATTGAGAGCAGCCAACTGTTGCATCTGCACCGCGGCAACCGTCGCCACAGGAGACAGATATGCGGACTGAGCCACCAAGGCCTGCTGTTGGACGAGCTGGTTAGGACAACAAAAAAAAAAAAGTGAATCCAGGACTATGACATATAAAACTTTTAGCAGAGTCCTCTGCAGGGGTTGTACTGGGGTTATTAGGTCAAAGCCATTTAAATTAGAACTTCCTGTGTGTAGAACAGAAAGTAATTATCGAAGTATTTTTGGTTCCAAACCTAATATAACCTCCAGTTATCGCTTTAATCCCAATTCAATCCATCCCAATGTGTTTTCTGTCAACTTGGTACATACAGTGGCCCAAAAAATATTTAGCACTTAAGCCACATTTTATGTTTGAAAGTCATTTCATTAGACTACAAGAATCCAAATCATATAGAATTTAGTTTAAAGACAGATACTGTTCAAAAAGTTGTTAGATTTTAAATACATAAATAAACTGACAAAACAAATGTGGTTCCTCAATGGTCATTAAGCTGTTGGTATGAATCTTATTTATGTAAGGCTGGAATACACTACACGTATTTTAAAATATAAACAGATTTTAAAACACTAGGCATCATACACTTGGTTACAGAGAAAAACTGGGCATCATACACTAAAAGACTACCAAACTTTCAAATTGTTTCAAACACGACAAACTCACAAAGAAACATGCATAAATATATAAATATAGATGCCTCATTAGTGGCTGTTTCTATGGGCCGCCATAGGTTAGACGTCTGCCATATTGGAACGGTCAAAACACCGGTCCGTGAATATTCGAGAGCAAGTTGACTGTGCGTCTGCAACCGTAGTTAGACACATGTGTGAACATCTATATTTGCAATAGACTTCAGCAGATAATTTTACTAAACTAACACAATACAAAAAGACAAAGCTTCAGCTAACACAACATTAAAAAGATACCATAGTAAAAAAAAACTGTAATATTGAGTTAATACATATAAACACATACCAACACATTCTCACCTGTGAATGTTTTTTCTTCGGGGATTTAAATCATGGCGGTTTCACAACCAGAAGCTGCGCAATATACTGAGTTTAATTTGTTGCGCTTGTTCTGTTAATTTACTTTTGTTTTGTTATTGTAGTTGTATTGTATTTTATTGCAACACTGGTAGATAGAGGGCAGCTTCGGTTTCAGAAGCGACGTCATAGCCACGAGTTCATCCGTCAAATCTTTATTAACCGACAGCAGCGTTTATATCTGGGTGGAGAGTGGAGCGCACAACACTGACGGGAGCAGCTCCGGTGGAGAACAGTGACTGGATCTAAAACCCTCATATCTCAGTCACTGTAAGTTACCAAAACCACACATGAAATCCCGCAACACACGTTTGTCCAGCGCAGAGTGGCTCTCTCGCACTGTATGACGTGGCGGACAACTAATTCTCCAGTCCGATACTGTTCACACACAGCGCGTGTTTTCAGAGAATGCGGGAGTCTTGAATATTTACAGGTGTGAGTTGGGTTATACAATGCAGTTGTCACTCCCGTAAATAGTTTAACTGTATGTGAACCTGTGTTAAGGACTCAAATACAGGACTGACAACCGTATTCTGCTGCTGTGTGAACGTGGCCATACACTACGATATGTGTTCTAAAATCACTTCAAAACATCAAGCGTGTTTTAATATCCTCCGGGTGGATGGAATCACAGTCTGAAGCTCTGAGTTTGTGCCCACTCTGCAATTTTATGTGAAATCTGTCAACTCCGACTGCCCAAAATCTGCAGACTGGCGCAGACTTTCGGCAACTATTGTCGGCTCATCTAGACTGTAAATCAGGGCAAAAGTCTGAGCAAAAGTCATGTAGTGTATTCCAGCCTTAATATGCACTACTGTTCAAAAGTTTGGGTAAGTTCGGTAAGATTTTTAAAAATGTTTTTCAAGTCTCTTATGCTCACCTAGGCTACATTTATTTGATCTAAAAAGTTTTGATATATTGTAAAATATAATTTATTCCAGTGATGGGAAAGCTGAATTTTTCGCAGCCATTACTCCAGTCTTCAGTGTCACATGATCCTTCAGAAATCATTCTAATATGCTGATTTGCTGCTCAAGAGATGGTGTTTGTGCTTACTGCCTGTGTGTATGCGTTGTAGGCGCCCAGGTGTAGGCTCATGGGACTAATGACACCCAGCTGGGAGGCCACTTGCTGCATACGCCTAATTCCTCTCTCCTTCTCTGTGTCTGCAAACTTTACCACCAGACTAGAAGATGCACCCTGAGAGGATAAAGAAAATTCTCATTCTCAAACAACATCAAATAAAAGAAACTAAGAAGTCCTGAGGTGAAATATGCAGTGGGTGATGTTAAAACAAAACACAAAGACTCTGTAGTGAGTGAGTGAGTATATGAACAATGGCATACTGTGTTTGTGTTATGCTTGTAGGTGTGATAGTGGGAGCAATCCTGAATGTGATTGTGAACGAAACACTAACCGGGAGAGTGCGGCTGCCATGTAGAGCGCTAATGGCCGCCTGTGCTTCTGCATTACTCTGATATTTTACAAATGCACAACCTGCAACACACAACACATCATTAGACAAAGCCAACAAATACATTAGGCTGACATTTTTTAAGTCATCAAGTGGGAGTATTTTAACATCCAATTAAACAAATGAAATCAAATTCAATAAGTTGAGATTGGTACAAATCCCCACATTATTTCCCAAAGCCTACATCTGTACATATGGAAGAGCATAAGTGAATCTGTTAATAATTTACTACAGCAGGTGCATCTGTTCCATTCACACTCACACGTAATTACCCAGAGCACACACATCCATCACTTTATAAATCACAGCCTGTGTCGATTGGACTATCATTCATTAGCCAACATATGCGCGGATGACCGAACACTCACTGCTCCAAACCTACTAGTGTTATATTAGGGATAGGCATTAGGAGTGGCATTTACAGACATTCTAAACTCTATTGGAGTTAGACAACATGTGTCGAGACCCACTGATTGTCGTAATCATACTTTAGATCTAATATTGTCACATGGAATCGATGTTGATGGCGTTGAAATTCTGCAGAAGAGCTATGACATCTCAGATCATTATCTAGTCTCCTGTATGCTCCATTTAGCCAAGGCTGCAAGACAAACTCCCTGTTACAAATATGGTAGAATTATCACTTCTACCACTAAACATTGCTTTATAAATAATCTTCCCGATCGGTTTCTACTCCTCGGCATACCAGATAGCTTAGAAGAACTCGATGTTGCAACAGAAACTATTGACACTATTTTTTCCAGCACTTTAGAAATGGTTGCTTCTTTGCACATAAAGAAGATTAAGGAAAATAGTCCGACTCCATGGTATAACGAGCACACTCGGGCCCTCAAGAAAGCAGCCCGAAAAATGGACCTCAGCTGGAAGAAAACAAAACTAGAGGTATTTCGCATTTCGTGGAAGGAAAGTCTTATTGCATACAGGAAGGCCTTAAAAACAGCTAGATCTGCTTACGTTTTGACTCTCTTAGCAGAGAACAAACACAACCATAGGTATTCATTTGATACAGTGAACAGAGATTCTAATTATTGGACCAAAAACCTCCACACGTAATAACATAGCATACTGTCTAACACTTGATTGCTGCTCTGTGAAGTCTTTGTCGTCAGTTAGGAACCTGGGTGTGCTCTTTGATACCAATCTTTTATTTGAAAGCCACATTTCTAGCATCTATAAAACCTCATTTTTCCATATTAAAAATATATATTAATTACAACATATGCTCTCAATGACAACATGAGCAAGTGCGGAACAGTTAGTTCATGCATTTCATGACCTAAAGGCTAGATTATTGTAATGCTCTACTGAGTGGTTGCCCTGCACTCTTAATAAACAAACTCCAGCTGGTCCAAAATGCAGCAACTAGAGTTCTTACTAGAACCGGGAATATGACCATATTAGCCTGGTTCTGTCAACAATGCACTGACTCCCTATTATACATTGCATACATTTAGAATCTTGCTAATTACTAACAAAGAACTAAATGGTCTAGCTCCTCAGTACTTGAGCGAGCTATTAACGCATTATAGTTCTTTCCATCTATTGCGATCTCAAAATTCTGGCCAGTTGATAATACCTATAATATAGGTATAAACTGCAGGCAGGAGATACTTTTCCTATTTAGCACCCAAACTCTGGAATAGTCTTCCTAGCCTTGTTCATGTACACTCTGTCAGTTTAAATATAGACTAAAAACACATCTCTTTAACCTAGCATACACATAACACTATCAATGTCTATAAGTCAAATCAGTTAAATGATTGTTAGGCAGCATAAATTAGGTCTACTGGGAACACTTTCTACAACACCCGATGTACTTGTTACATCGTAAGAAGAATGTCATCTACGCTAATATTAGTCTGTCTGTCTCCTCCTTATCCCGAGGTTACCGTAGTCAGCCGGATCCGGTCCATATCCAGATCAGATGGTGGACCTGCACCTAGACACGACCACAACGCAGCCCTGAACGTCAGCAGAGATCCTGTCAACTAGACAATCCCCTGTGAAGGCATGGTCGACATGACAGCCATCGTCACAGATCGTCAGCAGAGACCACAAGAACCAGACAGGTCGTCCGCACAGACCCTATGGCCAGCTTTGGCTCCATACCAGCTTGATGAATCGATCTTCAAGCAAAAGGAACTGGATGAATATTTGAATGCTACTGATCCCGATCTGAATTCTGACTTGTTGTGATGCAGCCTGAATCATAATCAGACCATGTTCGTTCATTGGCCAGAGGAGAACTGCCCCCCCCGACTGAGCCTGGTTTCTCCCACTGTATTTTTTTCCATTCTGTCACCTGATGGAATTTGGGTTCCTTGCCACTCTGGCTTGCTTAGTTGGGGACACTTAATATTCAACAATATTATTGATCTGACTGTACTGACGCTGTTGTATGAGAACTGAACTGAGCTGGACAATGACTTTTTTTTTTTTTGCAGAACTGCTTTAATGAAATAATTACTGATCTTTACAGCAGAACTGAATCAACACTGAACTGACTTCAGCTGAACAACAGCCAAAATGCATAATTTTCCAGTTATCACTGTAAAACTGCTTTGAAACAATCTGTATTGTATAAATAAAGGTGACTTGAATTGACTTGTACTAATACAATGCTGGTACAGACGTGCTTTATTGTCTGCAATCTTACTGAAAGAGCCTTCAAGTCAAAGACAACTAATAATTAATAAATAAAATGTTTATAAATATTTGTCAGAATTTAAGCCTTATGAATGATAGATCTGGTTAACACTATTCCTTGCAGAGGAAGGATGAAGTGCATGTATTTGAATGTGGCTTGCACACCTTTGCTGGCTCCGTCAGGCCCTCTGAGTACTGTGCACTCCTCTATACTCCCGAAAGGCTCAAACATTTTTCTGACATCGGTGTCTGACAGCTGTTTCCCCAACATCCCCACAAACAGCTTCCTGTCTACATACAGAAAGACAGATCATGATAAGTATACATATACTAGACAAATGGCTGTGTAAGATCATGTATCATTTTAAAGTGGTAATAACCATCAAATGATCTCAGGCAATATTTGTCACTCGATGATAGTGAGGTTCATGTTGCGATAACTTTATTGGACACTAGAGGGCCCTAGAGGACTGTCATTTGCTGACCAACACAATGGCACTAGCCCATGTTTTCTTGTGTGTATTAATGCAGGATTAAAATGAAAGAACCATTTCCATTGAAATTTGGATTGTGTTGACGTTTACATCCAATAAGAGATTATTAACTCAGTCTGTACTCATTCCACATCCATTTAATGGGTTTAAAATGTTGAATTATTTATTTATTAATGCATTTTGTTGTGTGTCTACTGAGATATACTTTGAAGACAAAACTATCCCCATAAGTGATTGATAGATAGATAGATAGATAGATAGATAGATAGATAGATAGATAGATAGATAGATAGATAGATAAATATGATAAAATCATGTCTATGTAAAATCCCCATAAAACATGAAAACCCAACTTGTATGTGTATGTCTGTCTGTCTGTCTGTCTGTGTGTGTGTGTGTGTGTGTGTGTGTGTGTGTGTGTGTGTGTGTGTGTATGTGTGTGTGTGCGCGTGCGTTTTACCTCCTCGGCCCTCACTGTCCGCTGGCTTCACTTGAATGGGGCGGTTCATCTGAAACACAGAGCACATGATCACATGATCAACTGTACTTCCTAATCCAGCTCTTTCATTTCCTCTTGTGTTTGTGAGTGCATTTATTGCACAACGGTAGCTGAATGTGCGTAATGTAGGTCTCAGGACCTGTCCATCTGCCTCAATATTCCAGAGTTAAAAGAAAAATCTCCACACTGGTCCTGCTTCTGTTGTGTTTGTGCCCCTTTATCTCTGCTCTCTGCTCTCTCCATGTAGCCTTTGTACTTGTTTGCCTCCATTTGAGGCCTAATCGCCATCTCTCACGTCCACTTTTATCTCTCATCAAGAATCCGTTTTATGCTCTTTCTCTCTCCATCACACTTAATCCTGCCCCTCTCTCTCTATTTTTCTCAGGCACCAGGAAAAGCACACACCCACGCGGGATTGGGGAAGTGATGGGATTAAGCACGCTCGCTGGCTAATCTGGATTACAGACGCACGGCAGATTAAAACGGTGAGAGATTCTGGGCTTCTGAAACAGAAGAGAGAAAGAGGCACCAGGGGAGCAAGGGAGGGATGGTGACATGAGAGGGAAAAAAACATGAAAACAGAATGAGGGAGAGAGAGAGAGAGAGGAAATGAAAATGGAAAGGGAAAAAATAAAGAAAAATATTGTATATATAACCAAATTTAACCAAGGTTAGGTGGAAAAATAAAACCCATTTGATAGTATTAATTTATAGTATTATATATTTGTGTGTGTGTGTGAGTGTGTGTGTGTGTATATATATATAGTAAAGACATTTACATCATGTTACAAAAGCTTTCTAATTCAAATTAATGCTGATCTTTCGAACTTTTCTATTCGGCTGCTGAAAATTCAGCTTTGCTATCACAGGAGTTAACTATATTTTAAAATATATATAAACTGTAAAACAGTCATTTCAAATTGTAAGAATATTTCACAACTTTTGATCCAATAAATGCAATCATGGCGAACATAAGAGACTTTTAAAAACAAATCTTTCAGACTCCAAACTTTTGAACAGTAGTAAACGTTTAAATAAAACGACAGTTATAAGTATAACCACAATTTGCTACAATACTGAACTGTAAAAGAAATGTGACAACACCTTAGTGGATTATAAAACTATTACGTCCATATTATTCTCTAAAAACAACCATTAAATGATTGTTAGGACTAAATTCTATTTTACAGCAAAATGAATGGAAAATATAAATGAGCATGAACAGTAGATAGTATTAGTATTGTAATTAAAATGACATAGCAATTCTACATGGAATTGTTCAATCACTCCAGCCCTAATTTAAATAAATACAATTAGTAAAAGAAGTGGATGAGAGGCAAGGAGAGACGCTCTGAGCTAAATTACCCGAATCAACATAAAAGCGTTAATTATGCAGCAGGTGACATTTCGGCCCAATTCAGATCGCTTGGTTTTATCCGACCAGGCGCGATCACTCATTTGGGGTCCGTATTGATCACGCATTTGCTTGCAATCACTCTCTCCTCACACACACGCAGAGGCATATAAACCATACATAATGACTTTCGCTATTTCACAGCACTCCAAAAATATATTACACGACTCGCGGAGAAGGGCGCAAACAGAAGGGCATTTATCAGGATGACTAATGAAGCAGGTCTCATTGATTGTTGCAGTAATGTAAAGCACTGTAAAGATCCCCAACACCCACTATACGTCTGTTCTGGATCAGTTCTTTTGCCTTCCTAGTGTAACTCCCTCTGGTGATTACTAATCTGATCTCAGTGTAAGAGCTTGTTTTGTAGCGCTTAAATCTGAATTGCCTAAATTGCTTTGTTTATCTTCAGAAAACACTGGCATACAGGGGGAAAATAACTTTTGAGGGAGTTTTATCATTGTATCGGGGGCAGGTGCTCCCAATTTAGTTCATAAACAAGGTTCTTTAATGGTTCTTTCATCACTTTTTTCTTGAATCCCCCCAAATTCATAGCATTATTCGCAGAGTATCTACTTAAATTCATAAGTTCACGTACATTCACACATGAGGAGCCATGTAGTGTGGAACCAGATTCAACGTCCGTCGACGAAAACAATGGTGTTAGTGTGCCATATTTGAACAATACCTTTCAAATTTGAACAATACCTTTTTTTTTTTTTAAGAAATTAATACTTTTATTCAGCAACAGCACATCATATTAATCAAAAGTGACAGTAAAGGCATTTATAATCTTACGAAAGATTTCCATTTCAAATAAGTGGTGTTCTTTTAAAACTTTCCTGAAAAAAAAATCATAATTTTCACAAAAATGAGAACAACTGTTTTCTACATTGATAATAATAAGAAATGTTTCTTGAGCAGCAAATCAGCACATTAGAAATATTTCTGAAGGATCATGAGACTGGAGTGATGATGCTGAAAATTCACCTTTGCCACAGGAATAAATTACTTATTGTAGACTTAATGAAAGTTATCATGAGCATTGTAATGTTTGAAGCGGATGTCATAACAAATGTCAGCAGACCGGGAAGATTTTAAAACGAGCGGTTCATTCATAAATCCGTAAGATCTTACCTTCATGCTGTGGAAATACAGGGCCGGGACCACAAAAGGCCTATACTATAGCGATAGAGCAAACAGCAACTTAATTTTCATACAAAACTATTGTATAGCTTCAGAAGACTTGGAATACAGCAAACAAGTAGCATGAATCACTTTTATCATTTTATTCACTTTCACTGCACTGTAAAATATTCACCGGGATATTCTGCAAAACATGACAGTGAGTAAAAGATGACAGAATTAAAAAAGAATTTGGTGAACTGTTCCTTTAAAAGTTTAGATCAATGTATTGATCAATCAAAAGAGGAAAAGTGTTCTTTGGAGAGGTTTTCATAAGTCCTCTTTTGACGTTAGGCTGTAAACCCCTTTTTAGACCTTTATTTTCAGTGTATAGAGTGTATAATGCACGTCAGGTAGCTGGCCAACTGTTGACTGCATGAGCACTTTGAAATGGTCAGCAAAATGGATTAGGTTAATGACTGTGCCATTTTGGATTCATTTTCGGAAAGGAGCCAACTCACATCAAGGTTGAGGCAAGGGAACAGCTCACTCATTTAACATGTATGAATCAACAGGAAGATGGCACATCAAACCAAAACATTACTGAAAAGCATCATTTCTGTACAGGCTACAGATGCGCTGTGATGTACGAGAAAATCCTTTATGAGCTTTATTCACGTCTATCCTTGCACTGTGATGAGTCACTGAGCTTCAAGGATTCCAGAAAGGAAAAGCAGAGACAGTGGCAGAGAACAAAAAGGAAAGGGTGAGGAGAAAGGGTACAAAAGGACAAGAGAGACGGGAAGAGACAAGAAATAGTGGGGGAGAGAGACAGAGAGAGAGAGGGAGTCGTGGCACTGCCACTTCAGGTCGGCACGGCAACCAACCCTCTGTCACCATGACAACGGCGAGACGAGCTACCCAGCAGGTAAACAAGGTTGCCCCGGACGACGAGGGGTGGGGAAGGTAGTGATGGGAAAAAAAGAACGAGAGACGGGGGAAAAAATAGGGCGATGGAGGGATCAAAATGGATGAAAAGTGAGTCTTTGCGAATTTATTTATGAGAAAGGAAAATAGAGAGAGACAGAGATAGACAGAGAAAAGTAGCAGGTGTAACTGCTTTTGTTGCCAAAGCAACAGAGGCAGTGAAGACTCTCCATCATCGAGCCGAAAGAAACCTGTTGGCTTCCACAAACACTGCTCGACAAAGAAAACTAATATAACCACACTAATAATTACAGATGATTAACATTCTACAGTTGCTTTTACATTTTTTCAAAATAACTGTTTTCTATTGTAATATATATGAAAATATAAAATTTATTCCTGTGATGCAAAGATTAATTTATAATCCAGTCTTCACTGTCACATGATCCTTCAGGAATCATTCTGATATGCTGATTTGCTGCTCAAGAAACATAAATCAACTTATTATCAATGTTGAAAACCGTTGTGATAATTAAGATTTTTGTGGAAACCGTGATGCATTTTTCTTGAGGTTTCTATGATGAATAGAAAGTTCAAAAGAACAACATTTATTTGAAATAAAATGTAACAATGTAAACGTCTTTACTGTCACTTATGATCAATTTAATCTTAGGATTTAATTTAATCATTGTAAAATAAAATAATTAATATCTTTAGAAAAAATGAATGGTGATGCCACTAAACATTCATAACAGCCCTTCGGGTTTTAACCCTCCCCCCTTCCAAAAAAAAAGAAAATAAAAAACCTTATGAACAACATAAACCAAAAGTATACAATATTGCGGAAGCACCACTGACATTAAGTGACAATTTATTATAGTAAATCATTAAATATTTTAATAAACTGCAGAACGAAACATTCAAGTGAACCAGGAAACCAAGAACCAATAAACATAGGCTATTGTTGAGTACGAAAAAATATGCAAATCGTAAAACATCCATACACAAATAAATGCGATCCTTCAATCTGTGTTGTAGCAGGAGAGCACAATTGTCTGCTTACAAAAACTGAAAATAAAAAATTCCTGTAATATCCTTCCATACATGTTATTAGAAGCACAGGTCATAACTCCTGCTTGGTTCATCTGCCAGCATAAAAAACTCAGCACACACACACACTTAATCTGCACTTGATCTGAGGCCAGGGATTTCAGTGGGATTATGGGATATTAAATCCATAGATTATTCAATCAAATGACATTTACTCTGCCGCCACCCTCCATGTAGAGCGTCGAACCCGTATCCAAACAAATCACAGTGTTTGACCTGTAAAATAGCTATATGCTTATACATCCGAAACAAAATGTGAAGACACACCCAAATTAGACTGTTCCATTCACACAAACTACTGCACAATACGAGCAAAATTCAGAAAGCCAGTGACTCATAAGAGCTCAAAATTCACATTCACGCACACGCTACATGCCTGCAAGGCATTCTGTTTGTTCATACTCCCCAAGTTTCTCGGTGCATGGAAAGAATGA